AGCAACCAGCGTAGAAACCGTATAAACGATGCTATCAACGACAACCGCACTTCTACGATGTTTCTTTATTTTTGCTGTATAATTATCTACGATGGTTTTTAATTTATTTTGCCATGTCGTTACTTGATCTTATTTGTATATGTTAACGTCTATTATTATACTTTAGTTGTCTAAGACCGTGACAAAAGAGGTGTTTTAGCTACAAATTCTATGCACCACCAGTAAGACGCTGTAGTTATTTTTTATCAGTTGGGTCGAGTATACATTTTTCTTCTGCGTCTTTAACACTACAGATGCGGTTGCAGAAAAAGCATCAGTTGAATGACGCCAAGGAAATATAATAAATATCTTGAATTTTGCAGAGCTAAAAACGAACGGCCTACACTCACCAGTGACCACCTCCGCAGTATATTTGATAGAGTTAATCTCTAGTGTCTACGTCGATGATTCTGATGATACTGTGTGCACTATATTGCTAGCTAGTCCGCGAGGAATTTTAATCAGATTTTTTTGGAACGATATCAGGAATTCCACTAATAATATCGGTAATCCTCGTATTTAAATCATTGAGATTTATATCAACGTCCGGTCTCCTTCCGAAAAATTCATTAATGATTCTGTTTACACTTCTGCAAAACTCGAGGAACAGTTGTATTTGATTAGGAAAATTATATTTGAGTGTTATGATTTCATCATTGATGATAGATAACGAATTTCCTTATCATCGACATTTTTTCGTTGCAGCGTCGAGATTATACGTCGGTTATCTTGTGTTATTAATTTTACTATTATTCATGTTGAGAACGCCGTGCATGGTATCATCGAATGTTGATAACCTATCACTGATCGACACCGTAGTAATACTACCAGGAACAAGTTTACCTTTTCTTTCATACGCAGCAAAAAGATCTCGCGATAATCGACCGCGAATATCATTAATTGAAATATTACTCGTCTTTAATTTTCCTTCACGGTTTTAAAACATAACAAGTTCGTTTGGGTCAAAGCTGGCAAGACTGAACATGTCAGAGAATTCTTCATTGATCTGCCGTGTTACTTGCTATAGTAAATCTTCGGATGGTGCTTGTGGAGATTAGGTTTTAACTGATCGTTCGCAAATATCTACCATTATATGATTATCGATTATCTAATGTATATTCATGCACAACTTTATTGGATTGTTTCGTTGATCTTGATACAAAATCAAGTACTGCTAGTGCTTCACGGCCACATATTCATGGATACGTTATTTTTGTGTTGGTAGCGTTAAATACCAGATTGAAATATTTTGAAATCTGCCGATATATTTCATAAATTCTACAGGTTACGCCAGTCCGTACGAATCAAAATAAATAATTCTATGTGGATCAATGGCGTATGTGACCCGGTGAGTGCCTGGTACCGTTGGTGAGTCAAGATTAAAAATACCTGTATCTGACAGATTTGGATGTTTTAGTAGTTGGTAACGCAGAAAAACATCTATAAAATTCTTTATACGCAATTGCAAAACATCATCAAGTAAATCAAAATTTAATAGAGGAAATATCGGTGGAAAAATAAGCGAGTCCCTTAATTAAAATCGTATGGATCTACCCCCCACGTTGTCTGGTCGAGATCCTGGAAGTCTCAGACCGTGACCTCATCGTCTTTTTTATCCTCTTCCTTTTGCTTTCTTTAATGCCAATTCAGCAGCTGTCACAACAGCACCTTACTCAGCAGCTTTTGCAACAGCTGGAGAGGCAACGGCTATTAATGCTGGGATAGCTGCGAGAAGCGGAAATATTTCTTCGGTTTAATAGCATCTTTGATCGCACAAAAGGAAAGATTTAATCGTATTCCTTTATTGGCGTGTTGAACTTAGTTGAATATCTTAAACGGACGTTCGGTCAACGATAATTTATTTGCATCGCTTATTTGTTATTGTTTGAATGATATTTTTGTTAGGCATTAAGATGCCGTCGACGATAGTAATTGTTTAATTTAACCCAGTGTCACTGACACTAACATGACGATATGACATGATATATTTATGACTTCTAAATATGAAGCAGTCATCATAGACTTATGTCAGTGTTTGCATGTTCTCTACGGGAGCATCAACGACTCTCATCTCATGCAAGTACAAACACCTTCCATGAGCATTGTTTTGTCGGATAATATAACGGCGATTGCCCTGTATGGATCATTATTTCCTCTGTTAACACGAGCTCAAAAATGTATGTCAACGATGGACTATCTAAACAAATCCAAATGTTCCAACGAAAAATAATAAATCTGATATAGCGTTGTAAAATCCAATTGTTATATTTGTAAACCAGTAACGCTGTTTTAATCGCGTCCCATAAACGATATTAGACGATGATACGCACGTGCTACATGATATAGTTCAAAATTTAACAAAATATTCTCCGATGGTCCTTGATGTCCATTTTATCTCAGTAAAACTTCGCTGACTCTGAGATTATCAAATATTATTATGGAACGTTATTGACTATTTAATCGTGCAGTATACTGAAGTGCAGCAAGCATATGTAATGGCGCAGAAACGCCTTGTTTAGAGGCTATTTGCCAAGTAAATAAATCATCAATTGTGCTATCAAGGGAGTCTGTGGTCGTCTTCAACCATGACAACATCAAATTACAGCCACTGTCCATAAAAGTGAGTAACTGATTTTCGACGGTTATTGCTGGAGTTATCGTTGACATCGACAATGAAAGTTTTGTCAGTATTACCTAACCAGCAATATCAGCGGGTCGCTATATTGATTCATCGTCGGTTGCTTTTCGTACGAGTACAACTGTATGTTTGGCTCCAAAAATGACTTTTCGTATGTGTCTGCAGAATCCAAAAATATATGATAGTGGAATCGCGCAAGATGATCTTCTGTTTCAACCTTTCAACATTGTACTACGTGATCTAAATCCGAGATTGAAATCTACATTGACTTTAATAATCATACTTCGTACTGCCGAGTTGCCTTTTCAAGTAAAGTTATGTGGTCGTCCTTTTCATACTGGTTGTATTCAGGATGATCAGAAGAATCGTTGGTAAACATCAGAGATGGACCAGCTGATCTTAAATAATCCTCGCTGTATCAATCAAAGCCAAGTAAGGTCGAGACAACGTCAACATCTTTTGAATCCATTTAATATTTCGTCCGTCGATTATGTATACGGCAGTTTCGATCAACGCCATAATACCGTTGTTAACAAAACCAACACTGATATCAGCTCCGTATTCGGTATTGTCTGTTTTTAAAATTTCACTTCTGCTTCAATAAATGATTCAGTGGGCAAGAAATATCTACGCTGATTTGGATATCGTGCGACTTTAGAATAATATTGATAATCACGCACGGATTCATCTTTGAGAACTGGCGCATCCATGTCAAATGCGGGATTGGTTAGCCGTTTAAGCATCGCTTATAATATTGATCATCGTCTTAAACGAAGTCCACTTCGAGGCATCTCACTGGCTGCTATCAAACTTGCTGATACATTTTCCCTCTCTTGGTGTAACTCTGCTAGTTAATTTTATTTGCGGCTTGATTTATTATTTTACTAACATATGCAGGCATCACATCAGTGCTGGGTAATTTTACTGGCTGAGGTTTTCGTTTTATTAATCGTGTTAATCTATCCTTGATTGCAAATAAAGCTGTACTAGTAATGTCACCAACAGTACTAATACTTTTTTCACTAAGAACATAAATAGCTTTCATGCCTAATTGCTTTGCAATCGGTATTGCTTTTGGTTCTATCCTCAAAAATAAACCCCTAACAACACCACCAAGTCCATCGCCATATAATTTCTTGGTTACAGGCAATCTTGACTTTAGTTGGTTCACGCTAAGTAGTGTGCATTATCATCTAATATAATGATTATATCTAACTGTTTAATCGCTATAATAATTATCGGCAGTTTCAATAAAGAAAGACTTATACACGTCAACATTCATGATGCCACCGGTAAATAATCGATAGCAAATGTATCATTTCGTTGATAATTTCAAGAGAATTATTACCAGGTTATTTTCCGCCAATTAAAATTTATAATATATCTACGTCATCTATGACATTGTTAGGACACGTAACAAGATCACTTCCTAGAACATTAATACCACTTTCAGTTGCACCTGACGATGGTAGTTGTAGTTCTATTTCCTCTTCTTGTAGCAGTTGTTGTCTTATTGATGTCGTTATCGTCGTTATTGTTTCTGTTGTTTTAGTTCTTGTCGTCGATGTTCTCGTTCTTTTTTCGTTGCTGTATTTGTGATAATTCTTTTTGTAGTTGTTGTTCGACTTCCTTTTCTTCTTGTCGTTGTTGTAGTTCTAATTTCTCTTTTTGTCGTCGTTACTGTATTAGATTTAGGCGTTGTTCTAGTGGTAATTGTGTGAAGGAATTAATTTTATCTATTGCACGAATATATTGATTGCATTTTGGTTCGCCAGTTCAATTTCTATCTACACCATTGTGTACACGAAATATTCATCTCTATCAAGCTTCGCGACTGCAGGATCATTGGCGTACTTAGACTTAAAAAAATATTTTCGTTTATCATAATTTTTCAAGGCAGTAACAACTAATTGATTAATACATCTGATTTGTCTGATATAATTAATATAATCTACGGCAAATTTATTAATTGTTTTAACCTTGACTAGTATTTGTTCTAGTTCTTGTTGAGCATTCTTTTTTTTATATCTATTTCATGAGTTGGTTGAGCAACATCTTCTGCTACATCTGTTTCTTCAGTTAATTGAGCTGCATATATTATTTCGGCAGGATGCTCTCGTAGAATTGTTTTGTTTCTAATCGTTCCTTCGCTATTTGTTTAAGTTTGTTCAGTTGTCTTCGCTAACATAGGGGCGATACATTGAGTGATTTCAGTGATAAGTTTAAATAATTGTTCTTCAGACTGTAATGTCCTCTTGTGTTTGTTGACGCTCTTGTAATTTTTGTCTGACAGAATCACGGACAGGTAAATATTTCTTAATTGGACCGCTCCGGTAGCCTATTGGTTAGAGCGTCCGCCTCGGATGAGGGAGGTTGCGGGTTCGAATCCCGGTTGAGTTAAACCAAATACTAACAAAAATGGTACAGCAGCTGCCTCGATTGGTCGGCCTGGTGTCAGGATAATGTGACTGGGTGGGATATCATGCTACATGTCTGCGGCATGATGTTCCAGTGATAGATATCATTGTAAACTGTCACACTGCAGACATCATAACGACATGACTGAAAAATTGTTAAAGCTACGTTAAAAAGTCTAAATCGCGCACACACATTTCGTAATTGCTTCTGGTCTCTCTCAAGCTAGTCTCGTTGAGTGAGCTTCACCGATCATTAGTGATATAACGCAATGGCTTAATTATAGCAGCAGGGACGGTGCTACCAATAGTGAGTTACCAACACTTAAACGAATATACGTAACAACGAAATACAAAAATCATCATCGAAGTAGTAATTTAGATGTCTTTTGGTTTAATGTCGTTGGCATTCAGATTTCATTGCCGTACAAGGCTTTATTTTTCATAAATAAGGTCTTAGGCAAATGGTCTGTTCATCCTCCTTGCTGCTGGCTTTCAAATTACTTAAAAAAAAAATTATTTCCCTGACTTGTGGAAAACAGATCAAGTAATAAGTGTAATATGTATATCAGCTATTTTCAAAAATAAAATATTTGGTTCAAAAAAATTTACTATGAATGGTTTACAATGAATGTTTTATCTCCCAAACTGTTTTGCTATTTTTGTTTAGTCGTTATATTTTTAAGTTTATCGGCACTGTATATCACGGATTTTGCTAACATGCCGTTAAGCCCCATATATGCATACATCTTTTAAACTTTAAAGAATATATGTTTTCATATACATTTGAAAGTTCATCTTCCTTCGTTAATTATTATTTTCTTTTTGTTCTAAGTTTTAATTTTTATTTTTCGAAGATGAATTTTAATTGGTACTATATATCAGTGCAGATGTTGACGGTGCTGACATGTATACATTCTCCGGCATGTTTTCTCTTCGTATCATTTTGCAGAAGAGAATTATTCTAATTATGGATACGATATCATGTATCGCTCCCTATATTAGAAACTACCAACCAATGAATGTTTTTACAATTTGTTTTAATTTGTTTTTAACTGACATATTGAACTTCTATTGAAAATTAAAAAAAAACCTTTTGTACGAATAGATGGAAAGAAGAATAAATATTTGGTGTTTTACTGATATTTACCAAAATCATAAAAATTGAGGAAGAAAGCGCTAAGTTCACGTGAATTAGTATTAATTACAGTTGCAATATACATGTTTTAAATTGACAGTTTATGTGGATTCAAAGATGCTATTCTTCGTGTAAAGAAATTTTAATTCCAAATAAGGCCAGTTAAATATTATCCATAAATACACGACTCAAAACTCAGCGAAGGATGAGGCATCACAGGTGCCTGGACGATATACATACAATGTTTGAGATCCGGTTTGGGAGAAAAATGAGTCATTAGGAAAATGATCAGGTTAAACATAATCCTTTAACGAGTTTACTCTGCTAATGCGAGAGAGAGAGAGAGAGAGAGAGAGAGAGAGAGAGAGAGAGAGAGAGAGAGAGAGAGAGAGAGAGAGAGAGAGAGAGAGAGAGAGAGAGAGAGAGAGAGAGAGAGAGAGAGAGAGAGAGAGAGAGAGAGAGAGAGAGAGAGAGAGATGGATGTACATTTGCTTGTCTTCATGAACCAAATCTCAAATAAGCCATGCATAATTACTGATCACGTGATATTCTTCGCCATACTAGGTGCCAATTATCCTTTGGTACTTTCCGGTAATCGTTGATTATATATATATATATATATATATATATATATATATATATATATATATATATATATATATATATATATATATATATATATATATATATATGCATAATAATGTTCAACCTAGAATGAACTCCATGTTTCATTTAGAATGTTTTTTTATTTTATCGTTTAGTCAAGAGGGATTATATTTTTATAATAGAATTTAAAAACACATATTACATATGCACTGATCTTGACAGAGGAAATCCAGCTAACTCATCACCTTATTATATGAATAATATATATTAATATATATATATTAATATATATATATATATATATATATATATATATATATATATATATATATTTATATATAAATATATATATATATATATATATATATATATATATATATATATATATATATATATATATGTATGTATAGTTAGGTATCAGCTCGTTCAAGTTGACATAAAGAAGAAAGCGACAACAATCTTTGTAAATTTGAAGAAAAATAATCTAGTTCCATAAAAAAAACACACGGAGAAAAGCTACAAATATGAAACAAGACTTACGATTCACATAGGAGATCCAAAAATTCGTCCTAAATTTGTGAAAAACACGTATGTCTCGTGAATGAACAGTTCTTAATTGACGTAGTGTGAATCTCAATCCTGTTCCAAGATGGCGGATGATGATATCAGACGAAGGCTAACTGAGAGAAATCGTCAACAATATTTTAATTGTTACTGTCTCCTTCCATGACATATTTCGCAATAAAACAAAAGTATTTACGAATGTAGTTATCATTGCAGCAAATTATATGCAAGGGTTTTCTGGTTTAACTGGTAGAGACTAGGCATATAATGTTAAGGAAATTATTGTAATGAAACTTGGCCTGTGGGGTCCTGGAATGTTTTTTTTTTTTTTTCAAATACGGACTCTAAATGCTTAAATAAACGTGCTCTACAAAAATATATTGAATTCTGACTAAAATTGCCCCTCCCCAACACCTACTATGGAAAAAAGAAACAACTGTATGCAGTATAGTGTCTGCAGTTTTTTGGTTGTTCTCCAGTTGTTAACATAGTGTATTTTGTATATTGTTACAAGTATACAAAAATACACACGTCTGATGGACAATTATTAAGTTCAAAATATATTGCCTATGTAGTCATTGGAAAAGCTATATTCCTGTATGCAAGACAATTGCTACAATGTAAGATTGTTTCAATGTCAGTCTATGTAATTTGCTATCATCTAAAGATTCGCAAGATAATCTTGACATCAGTATGTGACACCTAACTGAAATGAAATGCAGTAATAAAGAATTTTGAAAGCAATCAATTGGTACACTGGTACGTGATCCTTACTTTTCTACTATTAAGTTCTACTCCCGATATTATGACTTGTAAAATTAGTGGCTCCTATACGTAGCCAAAGAATCCATATGGATAATTCTCCATTTCTCTACAACCAATAACATTCGCCACAACTACACGCTTCTCTCCTCCACATGTTTTTATATATGATTTTAGATCCAATACAATCACATATGTAAACCAGCTCACCCTTCCAATAAATATGAACGTATGTAAGCACGCTAAAGTACACAAGATTTTAATTAATAATATTTTGGAATTCAAAAATACGTCTGGCAATTCACGTGTCTCGTGTTAATGATAGATACAGGAATATTACTGCAATTTTTTCTGAGAGGACCTCTACATTGTTTTTTCCTACAAAAACATGTGGAAAGTACGAGTGATATCCCTTGCCGGAAACGTAATCCAGTGACATAATAGATAAAGAAGTTAACACACTTGTTCGAATACAGCATATAGAATGTCACAGAGAAAGCTAATTTATCATTTGCATTTGTGGTGTAGTTTTCGTAAAGATTAGGGTTGTATCTGAGTTTCAATGCAAGTCCCGATAAATATATGGCCATTGGAAAAGTGAGTAACACTAATATAACAGATTCTCCAAGTAACATTGGCGCTAAATGTCGCCATCTTTGTAGTCCTGTTATCTGCTCCGCGAGAGAGTTTCTGACTCGATGAATTATAACCGAGTTACTGATAACAATGATAAAAAAACACACAGAAAGATAAAATAGATGGAGGTAGGGCCAAACGTCAAGCCAAAAAGTCCGGTACGTTTCGTCTACCGCAGAAACGTCACACAATCTCTCTGTCCGTCCTATTGGCACGATATCAGATGAGATCAAGAAATGGAAATCTTTGATGATGACGAATGTAATGACAAGTCCAACAATAATTCTTGCTCTTTTTCTCGTACATCTGATGACAGATTTTAGAGGGAAGACAATGGTCGTAGCTCTCTCTGCTGTCATGGTGGTTGGGATTATAATCCCAAGATCTACATTTGCCCAACCGTAGAAATTAAAAAATTTGCACATACCTTTAGAAATATCTGTCCGTACAAATATGTCTGGAAAGTTTAAGTAAAGCCAATGTGGTATTAATGCAACTAGAAGACCAATTATATCGTTCACAGCTCCAGATGACAGGTAAACGGAAGTAGATAGCGACCGGAAATACTTTGTGCGCATGGTGATGATAACTAATGTATTGCACACTGCTCCCAGAAGTATGAGTAAAGGAGGTACATACAGATTAATTGCGGAAGACATTTTCTCAGTGTCAGCGCAGGAATCTCTATCTGAGTTCTTAGTAACGTTATTGGCTCCAACGTCTACGGATATTGTTGTAGTCATAGCGAAATTATTGTGTTGGCCATAGCAAAATGTTTTTCGCATGTAAAGCACCGACGAATTTCTATCCATTCCATTATAATCAGCAGTAAGAATTGATCACAACACTAATCATCACGGCATGTGGAATCTGAAAGAAGATATTTAGTGTTATTCATAAAGAACACGGGATTAAAATATTTTACTGTTATTTTCCTTTAAATGCAGTACATACGAAGCGCTGATTTTAAATGCCAATCTCTGTGCAAAATGAAAGGTAAAACAATTAAAGCAACAAACAAGCTTAGTTTAATTTTCAGGAAGAACACATTTTGAATATAGGACTAGAAACACTTTATATTATTGACTCTCCCTCACCCTTCGCACATTCAGTGAACTTGATCTCAAGCATTTTGGTGTATATGCTGTTTTTGTCTTGTCCAATAACCATGGTGAATGCAAAGCCTGATAAGGAACCTCCTTTGTCGAGAAAGTGCACTTCCATTCCAATACTAGTTACTTGTCCATACATCCATTTTGATTATTAGTAACTTTTCCATA